TGGGGAATGATGAAATTTAGGAGAAGTTACCAAAAAACAAGGAATAGCGTCTACATCCGGAATCGCGAAAGCAATGATTATGAAGTTGAATACAAATAAGAGTATTTCTAGATTCATTGCCGAAAATGGAGGAAAACTGGGCAAGTATGTACCTTGACTAAAGCTATCTGATTACATGTCACTGAGGAGAACATCATCAGGTAGAATGTTAGATGATAGATAATGATATATGAGTAAAGTATATTCTTAAAAGTAAAATATATGAACCAGTTTTTAGGATACAAGCTTGTTATTAATGCAATCACGAAGAATAATGCCATCAAATAAACGGATTTTTTCTATCTAAACTAAGTCAAAAAGTAACAAAGTTTTTCATTGGCGAACTTTATTACAACCTGTGATAGAATCCACTGAAAATTGAGAACAGTATGATTATCAATCATGAAAAATGACTCAAAATATCATACATAATAAGTATTCTTTTTAAACACCGAAAAACGTTTAACAATTGTTTAAATAAAAGTTTCTAATTACAAGACCTACAAAGACACAACATATTAAAACAAACTCATCCTAACGATTTAATTATTACAAATTTATTACTCCATACCTTGTGAATTTATGAACCCATGCAGGCAAGCAATCTAAATGTGAATATTACTTCCATTATATATTAAAACACCTTAAGTGAATACAGTTTATCTTTTATACAACATTACAACTTAATTATATGAGAATTATAAATATTTTTTAGTCTCAAAATACATAAAGATATAATGTATTAAATTTGTAACAAACTGCTGACTTAATTACTTTAGAAAGCAAAGAACATGATGTTGACGTAAGCATCTCTGCCTTTGAATCCCTTTTTAACAAAATCGTTGAGTAAAGGAAATGATCAATTATAAATAAATTTAATTTAAAAGTTATAAAGTTTAATATTATCGTTATGACGATGGATCAGTTGCCGAGATCGTTATTTAACTAAAAGTAGTATCGGTCAATACGCAGTTATAGAAAAACCACACAATGATAAAAGAAAACAATGCTAAGCTGAAATTTGAAATCCTAATATACAGTATAGTTCTAACGTTCAACAGATATATTGCATTGAAATATGAGCAACTGTAGTATATCTAATTCTAAGACATAAGCTATTCAATGTACAGTGGCTCACAGCTTATTTCGTACAAGCACTGTTTTTGTAGATTTTGTTAGTGAAGTTCTAAAATTTTATTCCAAACAAAAAACAAACCCAAACATATTTCAAATGCTGACCTCACAGTCATTCCAACTCACGACACCGAATCTACAAATTCTAGTCTAATCAGAAAATATAAAAAAGTATTTAAAATAATATCAATATAGCACACGATGCTATGGAACTAAACTGGGTTTCAGCTCGACACTTCTGTATATTTATGTTCCCCAGCTCTCAAGGAATAAACAATAAAACACCTAATGTGTCAATGTGTAGTCGTATCCAGATCCAGGCTTAAAAATACCAAATAAATATTTTTGTTTTTAGTAGAGACCACAAAGTTTGAGACTAATGAATGAACTGTGTGGTTATTATAATATGTTTCATTCATCTCTGGTATGATGTATGTAATGAATTGGATAAGTGTATAATATAGATACATCATATACGCTATAAAATAGGTTTATAATCACTTGGACATTTTTCGTATTTATTTTTAAAGGAGTGAGGTCTCAGTGGGCAAACTACAAGCTATGCATCTATATCTGACTACCAATACGGATCTATTTCTTAATGTCTATGGAGAGTTGTATTAACCTGTGGATAATTTGCTTAGGCAAATTTAGAATTTTCTTAGGCTTCCAAATATTATCCATTTCTTTAACTTATAAATTACTTTATGTAACTATTTAGTGCCTAGTAAAAACAAAATACAAAAGAGATTAAAGAGAAATATTTCTAAAGAATTTTTTTGTAAAAAATATTGCTTTCTAGATTTTATACTGCATATAACTTGCTTGCCTTCATAACTATATAATCAGCACTAAAAGAAATGTACAGCTTTTCCCCATACCCACAGTTTCAGTTTGAAATAATTTAATTTACATAATTTACATATTTATATACTCGTATATAAAAATATGTAATCTTTTGTGTTTTTCTATCTGATTACATTAACATACAAATGAGCGCAACGCTTGCTAATAGAAAGCTGATCCTGGCTATCTGAACACAGGTCATACATGTAAATTCTAGTTTGCCAGTTTGCCAGCTTGCCAGCTTGCGAGCTTGCCAGTTCGTCAGTTTGTCAGCGACATATGCAAATGAGTTAGATTAGAAAATCCCTGATTACGCATGCCTAACGTGATACGTGAACCAGCCGGGCACGTTCCGCATGTGCCGTAACTTGTGAACAAGGACCGCAACGCAAACCAGAAGAATTTTTAATTAAATAAAGTTTTGAATAGTTCTCAATGCAGAAATGTGACTATTGTGTTGATATTTTCAAATAAATTAACGCCATCTGCGTTGATATGTCGTTTACACGTCGCGTCACGAACGAAACACAAACTAGAATTTACGCCGAATCGAGAGTTTAGAAATTTTCAGCTTTGCGTGCCACTTTCCATTAATCCACAAATTTGGCGACCCCATGCACTATTTTCGCTGCTTGGTCGCATTGTTTGGGTATCGGTAATATCAGTGCAGCAAATACGAAATAGGGCAGAGCACATGTTGAAAAATGTTGTCTCCAGGTATTTTACGTGTGTGTGTGGCACACGCGTCTTTTCATTATTCTGCCCAATTTTAATCCAACAGAGAAAACGCAGCACACGTCTTGTTCGAAAAGCGCGTGCCGTCAGTGATAAATTGGCAAGTAAAATTAAAAAATCTTCTGGGTTCGGTTGTGTGTTACATTTTACAATTCGCGTTCCATGGAATGCAGCAACAGAATGAATCCCTTCGTGAAATTTCCTTCAATTCAATTGCTTCAATTGGGGTGAAAATTTCTACTACGAACTTCAATCTTAGCTGCAACTTCCTTACAAAATGCAAGTAGAAAATCTGTTTCAGAAACATTGAATATGGATTATATTTGCAGAAGAGAATTTTGTAGTTGCGAAGATTGATCAAATTCAATTCAATTTGTCTGCGGAATGATAAATGACTTTTCGAAACGAAAATCTTCTCAGAATTCCCAACAGCACTTGCTAATCATAAACTTAAAAGACTACAGTTTTTTTTGTTTTGATTTATAAGGTAATACGAGTCTGGGGTGTCACTCTTTTCCTTTCGTAATTCTAAAATGAACTTATTACAGGCATTTCAGCAAGACCACGAAATCACGAAAAGTTGATTATAAATTCAAGTATTAGTTACGATATTAAAACGAAGTTGTTTAGTGCATTTGCCTTGTGTTCGTCTTTGACGGGACTAAGAACAAAGATTTTCGGAATTCCAATTTTAAAAGTTGTTAGTAACTTCCTATTGCTTTCTCTGATAAAATAGCAAAACGCTTTTTCAAGGTAGTCTTCGTCTCACACCGGTGAGACTTTGATAAAATCTATGGCCATGTAATTGTTCACCTATCAACCTACACTGCTAATTTGTAAATTAACTGAAAATTAACTGAAAATTTCAACATTCTTTCTTAAAGATGATTTAAAGTGCTTAAAGTTGGCCTTCAGTCAATACCTTCAATGGCTTACTCTTGCCAGTTGGTAATACCGAGTCGCTTTATATCGTTGATAATCTAGTCTTTCACCGATGTAAACGGTTTTTCAACAGTAGACACCGAATAAAACAGCCTTCTAACCGGAGCTATTTTTGTAAATTAACGACGGATGACCCATCAATTCGATTTTTTGATTGTTCAAATAGTCGTTTGTTACCACATGACCAGTTTTCCCGAAAAAACAAGCGACCATTTGTTTCGATTTGCTTCAATCGCGTATAGCTTTTGTTGGATTTGGTTCATCTTGAAACACCCATACAGTCGACTGAGGTTTACTTTCCAGCTCATATACATATCTTCATGATTTATCACCCGTTACAATATATACGTCAACATTAGAAATCATCTTGCTTTTGCACAATATGAAAATGTGAGACTTTGGGATATATAAATCAAATTTTTCAAAAATAGGAATTATATATACTAGTGTATATTCACCAGAGAACTATTCAATCACACAGTCCAAATTTCCTTTTAAGCTGTTTGGTTAAAAAACATTTCAAAAATGTATTGGAATTATATAAATTTACGGCCTATTAGTACTCCTATTTTTAACCTCTAAACTAACATAAACTTTATGTTAGGCCTTTCTAGACTGAACATTTTAATATTTTTCTTATACATAATGGCGGATTGATACTTTATTCATTTGTAATCTAAACTCAATTATGTAGTCTCCTTTAAAAAATGACTCATATAGTAATTTTATGTTTTCTAATATTATATTATAGTCTATATTTACTGTAGGAAAGGCGTAGCATACCCTTAATGACCTTTAATGACGTTACGCCGTACATCATTACTGAAGTCGACACTGATGTCAAAAGTCTCCTGCCTGCATATCTTTTGCCACCAATGTTTGGCATTAATCTTACCACTGCTGCGACGATTCTAATTACTTTGTCACCGGCAGACTTCAGAATTTCTCTAAAGTAAAGCCTTTGATCTATTTTGATACCCAGATAATAAATTAATTCCCGAGCTTAATGTGATAGAAAGTTCACCAACATGGATGTTAACAGATTTTACTCTTTTTCTGATACTTTTTCTGATTTTTTCATATTCATGGGTGCCTCTGGTCGTGTGCCCTTGCTGGCTTGCCTTAATACTTAACCGAAGACATTAAAGTCCAAGAATTTTCTATACTAGGTCCTTGTGAGTTATAGTAAATAATTGTCATATATAAAAATTAATCTAAAAGCAGTAACGAGTACGGAATAATTTAAAAATTTATGTTTATATATTATAAATACAGTATTTCAATAAAATTTAGTCCAAGTATGTATCCTTGCATTTTTAATAAATATGATATGTACACATGTTTTTATTATTGTAATATACCCTACAAACTAATTTTTAAATATATTATCCGATAGTTCATGTCTCCACTTATAGAACAATGCAGTCATATTTGCCTTATCAGGTAATTTATTAGTCCCATCATGCACCGCAAATGGTCGCACTTTATACAAAAGGTATTCCAACGAATAAAATTCCTTTGGTTTAATGTAATGAAATGAAATAGCACGTGAAGAGCAGCAGGATGAGTTCTATAAATCGACAAAAAATGGATATTTTATTTTACATGAACTGGTTAACCACTGACCTCATCTTGTTTATAAAACAAATATGCAGTGTACCATTCTGAGGTGTCGACTGGCAGCAAATGTATCGGTGCTAATGGTAAGAAGCGCTCTTGGCCAAATTCATCCCTCGAATCACCAGCAACTACTCCAATATTTTGTAAACAAATGCCCATTTCCTTATCCTCCGAGAGATTGTTATGGGAGCACAGCTTTCTGTTCGTATAGCCCACTTCAACAAATCGACGTAGTGCCTCTTTGCTTAGTACATAGCCAGCGCCGCCAGACATGTAACCCTTCAAAGGATTTTGTTAAACCATATGTCAATATGTTCAGGTTGGTGGTGATGATGATGAGGATGTGTTGTTGTAGATGATTTGTTATGAAGTATGGATGTGTGATTGTTTGATTGTTGAGTTACATAAGTGATTGACAAATATTAACATTGTGTTGGGAAATGTTGCAAAATGCAAGGTGATGAATTGAAGTCGATGGAAAGAATGAAAGTGAAACTGAAATTGAGAAGGTTAACTTATGTTTATTTACCTGTTTAACGAATGGGTGGAATTTGCAACCGAAATAAACAGGAAAATCTTTTGAGAAAGGATAAAGGAAGAGACGTAAATTTTCCATGATGACATAACTACAATAAAAAAAGTTATAAATTAAAATAAATTATTTTATGCTTAAAAAGTAAGCTAGATTAGAAGAAAATATGAATATAAATATGTTAGAATACAATTTATATATTAGTATTAAATTAGTCACAAAATAGTTCGCTACAAAATTGAATAAAGAATATTATACAAAAAAGTAACTTATGTTGTCCATATATAATCCTAAATCACACTTCAAATTATTATTAATTATATTATATATAGACAACCTAGGAAAGTATTACATTCATTTCATAAATCCTCTTTAAATTAAAACTAAAAAAAACTTAATCTTCATATCTTTTTTTTTGTACTATCAAATCCTAGAAACTCATAAGCGGATGCTGTGTTCAAAGCTAAGTACCAGAGCCGCTCGAAGGTCCAGGCAAACAAGTGTCGTTCACCACTATCTACACAGGCAATACCAGCAGGATTCCTTGGGTCACAAGGAATGCACACAACAACCACACTTTCATATATACTGTCCTAAGACATGATTAACCGTGTTTATTGCAAATCGAAGCTTTTGGTGTGAAAACTTTGTCTAAAATTTCAATTAAACTTGGTGGATCTCTATGGCTCTTCTCGAATTTTCATCAAACATATAATATAGTATAGAGATAATAATTTTTCTTGAGTTTTCCATCGAGGTCTTAAATCAATTTTACTAAGAAAAAGTGATTAATGCAAAGATTTTACAAAAAGAAAATTGTAAACAATAAACCCATTCGGTAATACTTTTTCTTCTCCTTGGCAGAACATAATAATTATTATGAATGAGTCTAGTAATATCTGCAGTGTTGTTCGTGTAATTTCACCAACATAACCAACGACTTGTTTCTTCTTATTTTAGGATCGTTTTACGTGATCTCGTCTTTTAAAAGCACCAATAACTGTAAATTCGCTATTTATAAGGAACCGTGTTTTTATAATCTATGATTGACCTTTTCAACTGGACTCGATTTCACTTTTGATTTTAGCGGAATAGTTTACCTTTGTAACATGTTGTCTCATATTCTGGGACTATTTCATGAACTTGCTTAGTTATTAGTTAGTTATTTTAAAAAAAATTGTGGAAGCAAACTTAAAAAATAAATCTCTTACAATGCAAAAGGATGACAAAGGCTTAAGTTTGGAATTGTCTCCTTTTAAGACAAAAAATATTTGTTATTATTCCACTTTGAAACAATAGATACCTGGTCAACTTAACTATAATTGTCAGTCCACAAAAAATATTGGATTACATATTTATAGTATAATTTGTCTTACATATTGTCCTCATTTTACTTAAATAAAACTGATAACCTGTTAAAAATTACGTGTTCATATTTCATTAAAAATTTTTCATATCCTCTGTCAACTTACGTGTCGTCATCAGCTTTAAGAAACCAATCTGCATCATTCAAGTGATGTTCATATATATATTTGAAAGCTTCACGAGTTTTATTCCATAGAAAAAGACGTCCCTCTAAGACTGGCAGCTTAATAGCATCGAGGTATTTATCTTCCTGAGTACTCATAAACAACAGTTTATTACAACGCTTGCCCCAAGTTTGTTTCACATGCAGTGCTCGCTTCAGATGGTTCGCCGGGGTAGTCATGATCCAACAGAGCACGCGAGTGTTATTGTATAAATGCGCCGCCAATGAACTCCCCTCACTGTGTTCGCCATTATATGCAGTAGTACTAGCTGAGTCATTTGTTGCTTCGGTTGTGCGGCTGCTGACGTTAAACTTGAAGTAATTCCAAAATTCAGTTAATCTGATGCCAACAATTAAACCAATTAAAAGGCAGAGTAAGTTTTTATAAAACATTTCAAATTTTCACAACAAAACTACATTGTTTACTCTACAATTAATTATGAAATGATTCTATTTTTAAAAGTTTAATGATTTCGTTCACGCGTGGGTATTCACTAAACAAAGTCAATCGAATCATGCGTCTTCTCGCGATCTTAGCCATTCAATCAATACTCGACGTGACTGAGGTGCGTTTGCATCACTTCATTTCACTTGTATCTTTCTCGTCTTTATAGATTTTTTGGTAAAAGCAAACATTTCGATTTCCAAGTCAACCATTCAACCTACGAACCATTCAAGAGAAAGTATCGCTTAAGCAGACTGCCGTATATGAACTGATGAGATCGTCGTCATGCACACAAAAATATTCGATTGTGCAGATACAATTTTCAAAACTGGTTTCTTACAATTCAATATTCCACGCTTCACATCACATCTAAATAATAAATTTTAAAAAGTATTTTTAATTCTATTAACGAATTGAAATGTGTGCAAATTAATTTGACTTCGACTCTTTTTCTACAATCGAATGCATTGCAGTGTCTCTCCTCGCACTTTACATGTTAAACATTGGATTAGAGATACGCTGAAATTTTCAAAGGTGAACTGCAATTAAACAAATTGACTTGGTTTATTAATCAGATTAATATAAATTAATAAATCCTCTTTTTTATTTAAGCCAATGAAAAATGAATAAAAATAATTAACAAGTAAACTCACCAGTTCTGCATTATTGTGTTCAATCATTTTTTAATTATTTTTTATAAAACTCCTATAATATATAATTTATAAATATATAAACTATAAATTATAAATATAGAAATAAATAAATTTTAAATATAATTTATAATTTTCTAATATTAATTTATAAATATGAAATCTCGCCCAACTTAACATTAAAGCTACTTTTCTTACCACACAGCGTTTACACTATAGTGAAATGCTTCACTTCACTTATGCCCATGTCTTTACGCATTTCCTTATAAAATGCCTCCTATTAGTTCCTGCCTAAAAATTTTCCTAAATTTCCTAGTTGATGTCTGTTATGTGGATTTAACATATTCCCCATATTATTCAACTTAAGTTTTGTCTTATTTTGTATTAAATCAAATATAAGACAACGCGCAATATTGAAGTTTTTGTGTAGGAGTTTATCCTACACACAAATTAACGCTTCCTGCTTACGCACATCTGTGTGCACTGAAGCTAACTCACTGTTTATGCTGATTCATCTATGATCACTGTAGTCAAGCTGCATACAGCATTCTTTGTTTAGTTGATGAACAGTGTTGCGCTTATGGTTCCCCCTTATAGAAATCAACTTAGATACGACATACAGCACCACACGTATTTAAGAATGCAAATCTAATCTAGTCAACCCTTAAATGAAGCTGGTCTTGGTTTTAATTAGAGCTCGGTGTATAACATGTCCAACTTCACTTTAATAATGTAACACGGTTCGTTAATCTTGTACCTGTCTCCCTTAAGTATATGATCCATTACCTCTACCATCTTAATTAGCTAGATAAGTTAATCTAACTTTGCAACCTATTTATTTCTTGATTTATTTTTTTTTATTTTTCTGCTTCTATCGTACATATTTATATCACCTACAAAAACAATTTCTATATATTCGACTTGAATCTACACTATGTACACATATATAAAGATAACTTCCTCCTGATAGCAACTATTCCTTTTGCATATATTTTAAAATGAAACAATTATTTAAATAAGATTTAATATTAAAACAAATTCGCAAAAGATAAACAAGCCTTTGGAATCGTAAATGAGAAAACAAACTTTAAAGCGCAATGGTTTTATGAAGAATGCTGATTTTAAAGAAAGAACAACTTTTGATGAGATCTGACATCGAACACAATACTGATCTGAATTCTGGCAGTTAACTGCATATTACGAATATTCTAGCCAAGTACAACACCAAAGTATAGTTCATAAACACACATCCATCAAATTCTGAAGAAATACTGAGACTGGCAAATAATTACCGAGGACCGACAGAGGGCATCATCAAGTCAAACAAGAATTCCGTGCAAACCAAGGCATAGAAGAGGCAAATATAGACAGAACTTCATCTTTATGGACAGATGTGAAATGAACTTAAAAAATTAAAAGCCGACAGAGTTCAGTACCTATGTACCTCAGACCCATGTTCCTCATAGGAATGTTATGAATTAAATAATAATAATAGTGTTAAAAATAATTATGAAAGATGATTTAATCAGATATTGTAATATAGAATTTAGCTTTCGATTCAGTGTTGCAAGATGCTTACATGTTTAATATATTAAAAACTATCTTACCGATCTGAATCAAAGAAAAGACATTCTTTTTATTTAATATATTTATTTCATTTACATATTCAATTTTATTTTTATGTAGCTGCATATCTCAATTTATTCTTTTAATTTTTTAGTAACTACTATTATGATAAAATTATATCAGTTATAATATTCTTTTCATAATATAATTTAAATATAAATTATGCATTATATAAAAAAAATAAACAATTGCTATTATATAAGCCATTTCACATTTGGTTATATTGTATATTATGTAAAAAGTATTTATTATATATTTTATTAAATAAACAATATTTTTATGAGCTATTGTTAGTTTATTGTTATTAGTTATATTTATTATAATAAAATACATTAATAAGTGCACTTGCCAATTGTTGTTATATTTTTCTTAGCTTAAATTGTATTTTTAAAATATTTTATGTCATTTTATATATTTATATAAAAAAAATTAAGTATATATTTTGGAAGATTTAATTTATTTCACTTGTATTCATTTATAATATCTATACAAAATATGTAAATACCAAACAATTAATTAGAAAAAATAACAATAACGACAAATGCCAATTATTAAATGAAATTTTACAAAATCAAACTTATATTTTTTTTCTTAAAGTTTTATCAACTTAATATAGAAACTTTTAATTATATATATATAATTTAATTATTTATATTGAATATTTATTGGTATACAAATAATAACAAAGTATTTTAATTTTTAAGAACAAAGTATAAGGTATGCCAATCTACTTTTTTTTAATTGAACTTTTATTCATTTTTTTTTTTGTTTGATTTTATGTATAAGACAGAACCAAAGTCATAAATAAACATTATAATTTAGTTTAAAAGAATTACTTTGCACACCAACACAATTCTATTCAAATTAAAATTAACTGAATTATTAACAAAATATATAATAATAAAAAATTTAATAACATATTTTATACACAAATAACTAAGAAACAAGAGTATTCAATAAAAATTAATAAACACCATATTATAAATACACCTTCGTGTTAGTACATAATAGTTTAATATTAATTACAATATATACTATAAAGTTTAAAAATATTTTTATATATTAAAATATGTAAAAACTGAGGATTTGTATTAAGTTTATACAGTAACCCTTCTGTTAGTTATTTCGTAAAAAAAACATCGGATGCTTTAAATTTAAAAAAGAAAATTTTTTTTTCATTTAATATTTTTTAAATCCATCATTATTCTTTACTTTATCACATTTATTTAAAATTATTTGTTGTAATGTATTTTTATTTAAAATACATTTTCTGTTAATTGTAATGTATATATTTTTGAAAAGAAACTATGATTGAAAGTGTTAGGGATTTTTAGAATTTATCTTTATAAATTAAAAAAAAAAAACAAAAATGTAATTCAAAAAATGCTTTAAAAACCATATCGAAACGCAAAAAGTAAATATATATTCATTATTTAGTAATTCATCATTTTCATTTCATCTGCTGTTCAATTTGATCATTGCAAACGTTATTTACGTCCATCGTACATAGCAAGGCTTAAAAATAGGAACCTACTACTTATACTTAGAAAATTATATAAGAATTACATTGTATGCTACGTATAAGGAAATATCGAATAAATCAATTCTCTTCTAATTTGAGAAATTTATGTTCTGAGGAATATTTTTGATATTTTGATATTTAATATGTTTGATAATTTTTATATAGGCAACAATGTATTTAAATATGTATTTGTAAAATGGTTTTTCATAGAATATATATTATTTATGTAATTTAATTACATTATGTATTTAAGTTATGTATACAAAATAAAATAAAATAGATTCTTATAACTTTACAAAAAATAAAAACGAATTTGTGTTTTATATATAAAATATTACAATATAAAAACTTGCCAATCGATGTATTCAAAAATTTAGTAAATTCAATTAATTAATTAATGCATATAATTCATGCAATAGTGAAGTCAATCAAATCATACAATATACACATATATTAAAATTTGTATTTCTGTTATTGCTCGACGTTATTTATACATCACGGAAAACTTTCATATATCCAGTATATATACAAGATGAATCAAATTTGTATACTTGGCTTGATTGGCACATTTAGTTTTGCTAATATAAATTTATTACATTTGATTAAATTTTCCATAATTTTAATAAAAGAAATATATTATATAGTTTTTGTATATTATAGGTTGGTTAAAAATTATCTTAAATTACAAATATATATAACTAACACTAAATACAACAGTACTCACTTACACAATGATCAAAAAAAACATTAACGATTTTATATCATTTATAAAAACAATTATATCAACTTTTATAAATAAAACGTATCGATATTTACTTTCCTATATATGCTATATATATAAATATATAAAATAAATATAATTATAAAAAATGTAAATTATTAAAATAATAGCTTATTTTATAAAATCATTCAACTAAAAAATATAGCAATTTGTTTATTTAACTATATTAAAAATTCGCATAACCACAAAAAAAAAAATTTTTCACTTTAATATAAGAGAAAGATATAATTAATTAAGTTTTATGAATGCTTCATAAAGTATCAAATAGTAAAAAGATGCTGCAATTACAATATTTACAACAGTTCAAAATTGGAAAATTATTATCGATACTCAAGAAATTTTAAGTCTATTTCTATACTTTCATATTAAAAATCTTTATTAAATATTGTTATTCTGTATAAAATTCAATCTACCCGAATAACTTTATAATTAAATCACCAATTATTAATTGGTGAAAAAATTAATATTTCACATTTTCATTTAAAGTATATTTTTTATACAATTATGGTTTTATATAATAAATATTACTTTTAATTTCTATGAAATATATCAAGTCGCATTGCAGTTGCATTTTGTACTAACAAATGTTTAATATAATTATTTATAATTATAGTGGCTCTTCAATTTTAATAATAGAGTGAAAATTTTAACAGTAATGTTTTTTACATTGCAATCGATTTGATTTATACAGCATTTACAAAATAATGCAATTGACAAAACGAAATGAAATGTATTTATTTCAATTTTCAATTAATAATTAAACAAAGTATTCGAAACGTAATAATGAACAATTTCACTTCTGAAGATATTAATTATATTAAAAATTATTTTGATTTAAAATTTAGTCTAATTACTTGCATAATTAGAATTACAAAAATTCACTCAATAACTTATGATAGTAATTAACTAACAATAACTAATAAATTATTTCTTTTTTGTCTCATATTTACACTATTATTTTAGTCCAAAAGTCCAATATTTTTTATTATTAATTAATATATATATATATATATATATTATTTTTTTTTGTTTTTTGCTTTTTGGTGTCAATAAAATAATTTACTAATCTTCTGTTTGAAGAAATCTTTAATTTGCACTACTCATGTTTATTTCTTAAACCCTTATAATATATTACTTTATTAAGATAATTATAATTTATGTAAAAATGCATTTTGTATTTCGCTGTACAAATTACTTGAAATAATAATTTTTTGTATAAAAATTTACACTTCACTATAAAAATTTGTAAAAATTTTTCGTTGAAATATTGTTATATATTTATAACTTACATTTTATATCAAAATATACTCTTCTCTATTTATGATTTCATGCTATAGTCCTACTTAATATTTAATATTTTAAATATAGTGTAAAAATATATTGTATCTTTTTATAAAATATAAATCTAAAGTTCATTTGTTTATATCAATATAATAATTATTCTATTGCGTATGGAATTTTGTATAATACATAAGCCTAAATATAAATTTCTAAATTATTAACTTTAACTATATATTGAAAGCTATACATAATAACGGATACATTGCTCTTAAATTAATAAAAAAAAAATTATATATATTATTTATATAATAGTAATATTAGTAACGACATATAACGCATTTATGACCACTTTTTTAATGACCTCACAGACACACACACAGGCACTCATGTATATGTATATGTATACATCTATGTGTACATATGTTTAAACCAATTACCACTAGATAGAATATTTTTTTATGCCCTAATAATTGTATATACAATTTCTAATTGCACACATTACAACTATGTTAAACTAATATATTAAATTGGAACTAATGCAAAAATTAAATAAAATATAAAATTTATAGTCCTATACTTTATCTACGATATCAAATCATAAATACGACTAATAGTTATATTTATCTATCTATTTTCCATCACTTGCTCTGCTACCTGAGGAACTATTGGTGTTAGCATTGTTGGCTGTTGCTGTCGTATGTGGCAGTGTATCACAACGTCTGTAATACAACAGATAGGGTACACGCGGAATATGTGGATACAGAACATGATTTTCATTAACTGGCTTTACTGTACTATCATCAAAACGCAACCAACTATTGTATCCGGTATGATAGACATCAGTTATATAGTGTCCTTTTGAAGCCTCCTTGCCGTCATGGTAAACCACAGCAAACAAACGATATGCACGTTGTTTTTGTGAATACTTCTTGGAAGCTAATATTTCTATAAAAAAATAATTTCAACAATCATTAATAATAATTTTATTTTTCTAAGAACATATTATGTACACGTACTCGTATCAATTTTTAACTCAACTGGAAAATCGACTTTTTTCAGTATTTTTGTGCATCCATCAGACTTGTAATCGAACCACTTTAGATGCAATATCAATATCGTAGGCAGTTTCTCAAGTGTCATTTGTTGCCAAGCAACAACTTCTTGTTTCGTTTTGCTGCCGGTCACACCTTCCAACTGATCTCGACCTACAAGTATCTCCAGAGCTTCCTTAACAGAGGCAGCTTTCTATAATAAACAATAATTAATTAATTTTTTAGTTTTTTTTTTCAAATTTAAATACTCACTTCAATATTTAATTGCAAAGTAAAAAAAGGTTGAATATCATCCGTAGAATGTTCACCTTCGCGCTGCAAACGGGAACGTAATTCGCCACGGAAAATATCACTCAGTGGCGTTCTGCCAAAATCTGTTTGTCGGGTAATGCTACCTTTATTGCGATTATTACAGATCATCTACAAAACAAAAACCAAACAAATTTAATTTTTATCACTTTTCTCGATTTTCGTCACTTTTTCCAAAAAATTAAAAAAAAAAAATATATATAAAAGTTCTAATCTCAAAGTCACTCTTAGAGACTTACTTGCCAAGCATCACCATCATCGTTTTCATTTTGATCGTTTTGTCCATTTGTTGTAGCTGGTTTTGCAATTAATTTAACAACCTAAACACAGGAATAATTAGTTTTAATTCACTATAATGTCAACTAACAAATACCTCTAGCATTTCATCATTAAGCTTATTCAGAACGTATCCAAGAAACTCTTCAGCATCTTCCTGGCGTCCTTCAGAGTGTTCTTCGCGGCTCTCATTCCACAGCTTATATATCTCGGTTGGTTCAAACGATGGATCGCACTGCAACTCAACGCCCAAGTCATCCTTACCCTTTGAATTTTTATTATTAGTACGCAACCGCTGGCCGCTTGGTAATGTAGAAAAGTTTGACATCAACGAAATCCTGTTGGAAAAAGCAATTTAATTATATAAACTTCCCAATTTAAGGCAAAAATTATTTTTAAACTCGGTAAGTGTGCATTTTCAAAAAAGTGCAAAAATCCATCAAGTTTTTTGCAATACTTTGTTTTTTGAAAATCGAGAAGAGATTGTTGCTATAGCGATATAGGACCAGAACGGTGCCTAAATCGCAAAGCTCTAAACACTCCAAATTATTATATCACAAGTGTAACGCAATTGAGTATGGGAAAATAAACTCAACTGCTGACTTACTTGTGACTTCAGAACGGTCACACCGGATCATTTATACTTACATTGCATTTATAGTGGGAGTTTTGACATCGCACAATGTAGCCGCTTGCTTTGGTATAGAACGTATCAAATTGTAGAACGGTGAGCAACCCATAAGAGCCTGCAGTATGGAGTTAATGTAACAGTAGTTCGACCGATTTGTTAGACCACGTGGACGTAAGCTAACGTTCGACAATTCGGTTTTATATTTAACAAGATGATCAGCGTATTTTTGAGACCATTCATCAAGATGGGCGCTATTACGTCGCGGCACTGCTTGTGTTGTAACTGTTGACTGTGTTTTAGTGCTGCGGGAAGCATTTGCACACTGACCTATTGTTGCAGTATTCAATAAACCTTGAGCTGAAGCGGCTGAATATGACATGGTACCAGGTGTCACTATTGGCAGTGTAATTTGTGCGACGACTGAGTTATTGCCGTCATACGGTGCTACCTTAGCTATGGGTTTCTTAGATGAAAAGGGCGGTGGTAAAGCTGGTGAATCATTACTTTTGTCAAGGGATGTGCTAGAAATGGTTTGAGCACTTGCAGATACGGCAGTATTACTGGTTATGCTGTTTTTATTTATAAACAAACTGGCCCAAGTGGATCCAGTATTGGTAGAAGATGTGACTGCTGGTATAGGTGGTGCTAAATTAATCGTTGGTGCTGTGACTGCAGTTGCTGGTGGCGTATCTAACGTAGTTGCTGTAGCAATTGCTTGTTTTTTATTTGCAAATCCTGGATATTGTTTATTGCTCAGCGCATTAACTTCATTATTAGACGAATTTTGACTTGGTGGTATATTATGCGGAGAAGAATTTGACCCAACGGAGGTAGTTATTTGTGTGACAACTGCAGAGTTATTAATATTATTTATTATGTTGGTGGTAGCCGTGCTCGTGCTTACTTTTGGTATTTGATCTCCTTGGCTATGCTTACGGTCACCATTCGGTGGTGCTGCTGCGATCGGTGATGAAGGCCCCTTCATTCCACTATGGCCGCGTGTCTGTGGCTGACTGTAATTATTTTGTGATTGCTGAGAATGATGATGATGATGCTGATTTGTGTATGTACGAGAGTGGCTGTACTGTTTGCCCGCATTCGAATTAACATTTGAAGTTGGCGTTGCTGTAACAGCTACAGAAGCTGTGGATTTTTTATGTTGCGATGAATTTGTCCATGACATGGATTTTGTTCCTTGAACAATAGAATCATTACTACTATTTGTATTTGATGATTGATGTGGATTTTGGTTTTGATTTTGATTTTGATTTTGATTAAGACTGTTGGTGTTGTTGTTAATATTGGTGTTGCTGTTGCCGTATTCGACTGTATATTTTCTTCTAGGATGAGGATTGTTACTGGATGGTGCTTGTTTGCGTTGATCATGACTTTGTTGTCCATGCATTTGCTGTTGTTGATTTGATGGAGCTACCATTTGCTGATGTTGATTTTGATTTTGATTTTGTGCTGATGACTGCTGCACCTGAGATTGATACTGCTGCTTCGTATGTAACTGTTTTTGCTGTTGGTATGTATGTTGTTGCTGTGGATGATACAGTTTCTGTTGGACGTGGTAAATTTTTTTTGGTTCTTTGTGTTCTTGATATTCTTGATGCTGAGGTGAGGGTTGTAGTGGTGGTTGGTATTGATGTTGTTGCAATTGATGGTTTATTTGTTGGTGCTGTTGTTTCAATTGCGGTTGAAATTCTGACTCTTGGTCCTGACTCTTTTCTTGTATTAAATGTTCCTGTGATTGATAAGCGTTTTGAACATTTAACTGCGCTCCATCAGCTTGTAGTTGTTGTTCTAGGGGAAATTGTTGTAACTGTTGTGGTTGCGATTGAATTTGTTGTTGTGGTCGTTCTAAGTGCTGTTGATTTTTCTGTAATTGTTCTTGTGGTAATTGCTGCGAATTTTGTTGATGATGCTGCTGCTGCTGCTGATGTTGTTGTTGATGTTGTTGTTGATGTTGTTGGTGCTGCTGTTGGTGTTGTTGTTGTTGTTGTTGTTGTTGTTGTTGTTGTTGCTGTTGTTGCTGTTGTTGTTGCTGTTGTTGTTGCTGTTGTTGTTGATGTTGATGTTGCTGCTGGAGTTGACTTTGGAATTGTTGTGTTGGCAAAAGTGTCGTATACACGATTGTTGGTGACGCTAGTTCAGCATTTGGCACATTTTCTATCATTTCATTGGCAGCAAAATTCTCAGTGGAAACAGAAGTTGAAGTCATTTCCACAGCACCGCCTTGTGTATGTTGCTGTTGCAACTGATAGTCCTGACTAATATTTTCAACACTTTGCTGATTGACTTCACTTAAATTAGTGATTGAACCGCTCGATTCAAAATTTTCATGTTCATTTTGATTGCTGTCGCTGTGGTAATTTTCTGCTGCCACATGTTCGATAGCGCCTGAAAGCATTATAATGAAAAAAGTTTAATTACTTAACGTTTTGAAATAGTAAAATAGCAAAAACAAAAGCTTTTTCTTTAATTCTACTTAAGAATTTCAAATAATGATTAAATATTTTATCGTAGTTTTTTCATTCAGAGTCGACATAATATTTGATAAAATATTGTACTTAAAACAATGATTCGGGTACCATATATTTTAATATTTAAACACTTGTTTATCGCCTATTAGTGAAATAGGGGTGCGTAGCAATAACATACACTTTTGTTTAGCTTTTATGAATTTATTACTTCTTCAATACAAATTAGTTGAAGCCAGGGCACAACATTTGCGGCTAATTACAAAGGAATTCATGGAGTATAGTAAAAGATATATTAAACATCACATTTAATAATCTTTCATTGTTTGAGAATTTTACACAATTTACATTGCTCAAATAAGACATAACTTGCAACTTAGTAAACTGTATCGTGTATAAGAATTTTAAAATTAATACGATTGAATGACACCCTAATATTTTTATTCAAGATTTTTATTGTGTCATAAATCTTACTTTTAGCGGTCCTACAATTTTCTTTTTACAATAGAATTTAAGTAGCGAATATAATGCTTTTAGATCAGGAAGATCGTTGTTGAATTCAATGAATTCAAACTACCGCATAGCACTTTTCACTCCAATATGTAGATTAAGAGTACAGAAAAAACGTTAATGTTACTTTCTCTACATCTGAATTTAGATATTGTACCTAAACCAACAGATTCTACAGTAGCTATAACAATTATTTTTAATATAACACAGTAAAACACAAGATGGGAATAACACACAGATGTCTGTACGCAAAAATAACTATTACCAGCCCTTTTCTCTCTTCATTTAATTTAGATGATCGCAAAGATATGTCTTATGACGGAATCGCTGTTGAGATACTGTTGATTAGAAAATCATAATAGAAGATTAAATATATATTCCCTTCAAGGACTCTTGTTGTAACTGCAAAGCAGATAAAAAAAATTCATGAAATCTGCTTGATCATTATCTACCGCATAAATAGCATATTAATTTTAATCATTCCGAATTACGAATAAAAGTCAGATTGTATTTCAAAAAATATACACTTTTTTTTAACAAAACAATTCGATTTGAAAAGTTCTTTTAGAAGTTCTCTCAGTAAAGTTTATTTCCTAATAAAAGCTTTCTGCTTTCTTCTATTCCTATGCAAAAAATAGGAGAGGGCTACAATTGTAGTATTCTCCAAAATTGTATGATATACAATTATGTGTTCATATAAACTCAGGTATGCTTGATATCTTTTATGACGTTCTAAGGGTAGTCAGGTATACATTAGAATTCTAACTTTCCTCAGGAATGTAGAAACCAACAATGCTTCTGTAACAACAAGTCTTCTACAGTCGCATTCAAGTTTTCATTTCAAAAAAAAAATGTTTTTAACTTGACTAACAAATATAGTAAAAATTTTTTATACAGTATATAGGTATGTAAACTTGATTCCCATTATTCTCACTTCATTTTGAATAAAATTTGCATATTATCTTGATATTTTTTTCTTGCTTTTTGATCAACTTGCTTCTTCTTATCTTCTGCTTGCTTATATCAGCATAGACATATTTTCCGTAAGTTCGCATATTCCTAAAAATAATTAAAATTATTTTAATTGAAATCCTAAAATATAGAATACAAATAAGTATATAGTAGAGCAGATAAGAATTACAAACAATCTTTAATGTTTTCTAGAAATGCATTGTGTTCTAATTAATTCATACTTAAAATTAATCAATTCACTCATAATTAAAATATATTAAATATTTAATAGTAAATAGTAAATAAAAATAATATAAACATTTGAAAGTAATATATTTCATTGTTCATACGAATAGAAGAGTATAAATTCTTGGAGAATGTAAAAATGTGTCAATCTTTTCACATTTGTGTTTATTTGCTTTGAAAGATAATATTTTTATTTTCAACTGGTGTATATCATTTTCACAGAGTAAATTTCGATAATTATATTATCACATAATCGAAGATTTATGAATATTGGCAATAATGTCAAATGCAGCAGTTTAATCCGCAGTGTTTGACAAGGCAAATTGTTATTAAATCAATTTATATTCCGTATCTGTATCTGTGCACTGTTTACAAATAGACATACAAATACCAACCAAAGCGGTTGGTTAGGCATTTGTTTCAGTTTGTAAACGATAATAAACAATTTAACAAAAATAGAATTTTTCACTGGAAATAATACACACAGACAGACGCACATATATCAGAACTAACGACTGCTTATATTGACATTATCGAGTATCTTATCAAACAAAGTGTTTATATGAAACTGATTGAATTTAATCGGTTGTAGATAAAAACAATGGTTACCAAATTAAACACAAGTTAAATACAAGCAGAAGAATGTGGACAATATTTGCACATGTTTCCTAATTAAACTGGCTTCTGATATTTCCAAAAGCTTGGGAGCATCAAACAAAGAAAAATGCTGAACATAAACTATGCCGATAGGAATCGCAAATAATTAATAAAGTAAAGAAATCAAAATGTTGACAACACTGTGTGTTGATCCCTAAAATTATTATTCTAAAACATAAATATAAAATATGAATATCAGCAAACCAAACCTTATACTTTAAATCATTTAACATATTCTGAACAGTAATAAAATGGCGGATACCTCCACACTTGACATATTCTGAAAGCCATATTACCCCATAGATTCAAAATCCAATAAGTTTATTAAATTTTTAATAACATTTGGATAAAAAATCGGAGTCACCATAAGTATGCGTATTTATGTGTGAACATAAGTAACAAGGGGACCAACGGATCAGAGAGATCCGTTCTAAATGTGTAACCATAATATTATTTTATTAAAATAACTCTGTCCAGAGGCACCATATAGTTAAAGTATGTAAATTTACATAGCCAATGAACAAGTTTTTATAACAATATAATGTCTTGGTCCCTAAGTTGCATCATTAGCCCCCGTGACTAAGCTTATGAATATATATATTCATGATTAGCTAGACGGAAAATCGGATTTATTTTTATTTTTTTTATATGGGTATTGAGTTAAAAAATTTATATGTATGTGCTTATTTAATATTAGATGAATTTCGTTGTATATTATGCAGATAGGTTTAAATGGACGAAGGTCCATTTAAAAAAAATGTTTAATATGCAAAAACAACAACGTTCTGTCATTTTTTCACTATTGTTTATAATGAAAGAATTATCTAAACGTAATTGCCTAACATGTTCCTTCCTTAGATCTAGGAAAACATAGGCTGCCATATACATCTACCATTTTGTAACCCATTTACATATTGCAATCTTCTATTGAACTAATAGACTTAATATATTTATATTAATATTGCATTATTTAATGCAACATTATAATATACGAGTATGTTCTAGATTGATATATAGTAGAGGCAATTGTAATTTAGTTCCACGAGACATTTAGCAGGTTCAATGTTGTCACGTTAGCAATAAAATGTAACTACCTCGATATGCTAAAGAATCACACAACAGTGTATTGGAGAGATATATGATACACTGAACTCATATAATTATAAAAAGGTTAAGGACAAATGTAAAGATCTATAATATATTTTTTACTTTCTCAAAGTGCACTCATAGCAGCCACTGGCAACGTTGCCAGTTTGTCTCAGCGTTAAATCGAAAGGCAAGCAATGTACATATTAAATAAAATGAAATAAAATAAAATTGTTTATCTCTTAGTGAAATTGAAATTGAAATTAATTAGTAATAAACGAATACGAATATGAGGCAAACAAATTCATTTAAGATACTTAAAATGACTTGGTGTTACTCGCATTTCCATTGAAAACAAAACAAGTAATGGAAACGCCCGCTTAGTCGCTAAGCAACAAGTGAACACACGATTTTAGATAAAAACAAAAATTAATTAAGACTCAATTATTAGAGATTCGTCGCGTTTGGTGGCTTAATGGGAGCATCAAAGCTTAGAACAATTCCATTTATTTGACCGTATAATTTTCACTATATATTCATGGAAATGGAAAAAATTTATTTTCAAATATAAAACAATCGGAATACAGAATACAGAATACAGTTTGCATTTCAATTTCAATGCATTTGAGAATTTATTTATTTATTTGTCCAATGCAAGCTAAACCGACAAGGAAACAAGCTGCTGACACTAACAGACAGTAGCAGTTAGCGATATCTAAAACTATTATATCTAGATATGTATGAGATATATATTCATACAATTGATTCTCAGTATCAATAAAGAATACCAATACCACTACTTCCACTTAGTACGGATACGCAATTTCGTAACATGTACATAAATTCAGGGTCAATATTAAGATACGCAGGCAGGCAGGCAGGCAGCTAAGCTAATACTACACTACGCCTATGCATAATAAGTATCTAGTAGATGATTTTCAACTTCAATAAAACATTTTTATAGCAATTATGACTTTTTGTGTCTATTATTGTAACTAAATTGTAAAATGTAGTTCTATTTGCTTTGTTTTTTTTTTTACCTATTTAAGATAAA